AGTGATTTATAAAACACATTCATGAATCGGAGCTCCTACTGGTCCAAGTACCGAATCAACCCTCAAGAGAATTATTTATCTACTTCTTTCTTAAGAAGGAATGGATTCCATCTCGTATAATAACATTCCCGGCTACCTACTTCATCATGTCTCCAAAATACAAGGAATAGGATTCAGGATCTCAGTATCCATACCGAGTAAATCAAAAGACACAAATCCATAAATAGGAGTCTGTTAAGAACTCAGGATTAAGATCATTCTATATATGATCATCGGTAGACTCAATTAGAATTTCTATACTTAACGAAAATTATTAGAAATCCATATTGTGTCTATGTCCTTTTTCCACATAATCTCATTATGCGAAATACACTCATTCAATATCTCACTATATTAACAGTGCGGATAACATCGTCCCATTCTAAATGGGAATGACATGTATTAATAATGTTTTAATTAAAGATTCTAAACTTTAATTAAATTCATTATGAACATTATTTTTTGATTATTATCCTTAAACATTATCCTCTCGTATATAACACTTATATACAATGTTTAAGGTTACATAAATAATCATGAAATTTTCATTGATATTCATAAAATATTCATAAATATATGCACATAAAATAATGAATAAACTCTTTTATTAAATAAATAATAAATATCCTATTACATCTCATGCTTCTAGGACACCATTCCTAACAATCTCCCACTTGTCCTAAAGCAGGTAGAATATGTCTCCAATCCTGAAACTTTCTAGGTGTCCATGACTGATCTATGCCTGGAACAACTTCCAGATCAGTTAAGAATTTCTAGAGTCAGGTTGCTTTCTTTTGCCGCTTCACATGCTGCTACACATTAACTCTTAATGATAGAATTAACAATCACACTTTGCCAACAATCTTTCTTGTCATGACTCCTTCACCTAGTGTGAACACAGATTTGGAAGTTGACTCTCAAAATCCATGCATGACTCATAGTCAAAGTCTATGTATCCCACGAAAGACAACTCTTTCACTAACTAAACTATCTTATAGTTTCTTATTTTTCTTATACACTTAAGGATACACTACACGGCTGCTCAATGATCGAATCTTGAGTTCAACTGACAACGACTGACTACTCCCACTAAATATCAGATATTCGGGCTTGTAAAGAATAAGAACGTCTTCTTTTCTTTTGTTTGAAACATCTTGGTTTTGATCA